ATTCTTTTTCTCCTCCTCATACATTTGGTAGTTTATACTGCTGCACAGTGAGAATTTCTCTCATCAACGAGGGATTTTTGACTGGAATGTGGCTTAATCTATTTCGACAATTTGCGAAAAGTTCGAGATTTCAGGCAGGCTCGAGCTCGCCTAATGAGCGAGACTGAAAAAGCCATTTTAAGGGCTTTTCTGAGCACGTTAAGTCGCTAAATTAGTGGACCGCTCAATGGGCTGCTGTCTAAAAAATAAATTCGGCAATTTACTACACGAATAAGAATATAAATCGCATTATCTGCAGAATATATATCGCGGCTCTTTAGCCGTTAAAGCAACGAAAACTAATAAATTCATTACGTAAAAATTGTTAATAGCCACTTAGTATATATACGTTCGGTATCTTATTCTTTGAATTTGAATCATTTGAATTATCGATTGAAAAGTTTTTCTACTAATAGGCTATCACTGTCTCTTATGAAATCAATTTTTTTTTATCTTTTTTTTTTTAAAATAACAATTCGATTAATTTTGAAAATATTCATCCACTCAATTTATTGAATTATTCTGTTATTAATGCACATTAAATGAAATAAAAGCTTACGACATATGTCAAATAAGGTTGGACTGACGGGTTGTCAGTATAATAGACACGACAATAAACTAAACAAAGTTTAAAATAAAATTTACAATGTAACAATCGATAATGTAAATGTAAGAAGATCGATCGTCGCGATAGTGCACATGTAATGCAATTTTACAGACATTAGTAGGAGACAGACAAAGATTCATTAGCGACTCGTTCCACCCTTGTCCAATCGTTAAAATAGCATCTTATCGTCCTCGAGGGCACGTTTATTCATTTGCATTTCGTGTGCATCGACTCGATCAATTATTTTTCACTATAATCAACAAAAGATATAATATTTTTGCGTACTTTTCAAGAGGCGATTCGCCCATCTCTTTATACAACATAATCAGTGTTTTCGTGCAAACGTAAATTTCAAATTAGGCAATTGTTCGGTATGAAAAGATTTTATTTCAAAAGCTTACATACATGCGAATAAGTTTAACTTGTTAAGCTGTGTTATTCATTCACGTACCTTTTGCCTGCATATTGTTTCTACTTTCTACTATCTCTCTCTCTCTCTCTCTCTCTCTCTCTCTCTCTCTCTCTCCTACATTTACATCTAGACTCTAGTTTTGTACTTTTTGCGAGTACCGTGAATCGTTATTTGCACTTTTGAGTGTGTAGCCGGCGTTCTGGATCTTCATACTCCAGTGTGTCTCCGTACCTGGATTTCCAAATTGGTCTTTAACGAGAGTCGCCTCTTCATTCCATAATCCTTGAGCGTGGAAAGTAAACATTTATAATCATTATGAATGCTTCATTAATAATCTCCACTATTAAAGACTCTATAATTCAATTTATATTTCCAACAAACAAACAAAGTGTTGCTTATAACAAAATTCGTACTTCACAATTATCTCCTTCGATTGTCGATTTCAATACCATTTACCTATAAAGTATTTATTAGCCTTAAAACCTAATCGGTAACAATGGAAATATAAACTTTTTTTCATCGATGCTTATTTGACATAATCCACGGTAATGCATAAAAAATTTATTTTCACGAGTAAAAAACTACCTCCTAGACATATATTGCAATCAATTTTCAAAAAATTTGAAATATTTAATAATAATGCCTGTCTCGTTTAAAATTATGTGTATAGTTTTTCGTATCATTTGTAAATAACGACTATATCCGATATTTCTTCTATCGCATTAAATGAAAAAGTTATGAAATAAAAATGATGCGCAACTTATAATATATAAATAAGCGTCTCATCCAGCTTATGCACGCTAAACTTTATGGATATGCGTTACAAATATAATAAAATTGTTATGGAGAAAATTTTTATACGTTGTCTTAAAAAATTCTGATCAAATTTTACTTAATTTTGGGAATAATGAGTGGATAGGAAAGCTGAGCAAACTTTAGTGAAATAATTTTTCAGCTAAAATTTCATTGGCATAAAGTATCAATTGTTTAAGTGTAACTGGAGTTTTTTTTTAATTTATAAGTAAAATTTTTTCTACCAAAGCCTCACTCAACGTCTTAAGCAAATCTTATTGAATTTTTCAGTAGTAATTTATACTTTGCTTTCTCCTCCGTGCATATATACATTTCGGTGAAATTGGGCAAAGCTAAATGAAATAAAAACACCAAACTATCTTCTTGGATACTTGAAATTTAAAAATAACTTTGTCTTCCAAGATACAAGTAATTCATTTTATCATTATATTTCAGCATCCAACTCTTAAGATACGGTCATAAATGTCTATGGATATAAAGAAATACTAGACATGAATATTTTAGAAGAAGATATTTGCATATTGTGGGCAAATAGCGAGAATTAGAGAGAACGGAGAAAGTAAATGATCCAACGACACTAAGTAATTAAAACCACTTTTAAAATGTCACAGTTTTTCAATTACGTCTTTTTAGTTTTTAGCTTGCCAGATGCATTCAAATGTCTTTCTTTCTATTTATGATGGAATTTACTTTTTCGATGAAAATAGCCTTCTTATAGTGTTATTTTTAATTTTTTTATTCCAGGTTTTTTTTTTTTTTTTTTTTTTTTTTTTTTTTTTTTTTTGCTGGAGGTACAAATAAATTCAATGTCACGGATTTCTTGATAATCTAATCTATTTATACATTTTCTGCCTTATGTTTAAGATATCTAAAATGTATATTTGGAAAGGAAAACTTTAATTTTAAAATAGAAATTTCATCATTTATATTTGACTATTCGACATTATATTTACATTACATTCTATTAATTCATTAATAATTACAGAGGTATAAATAATTTTAATATTAATATTTCTCAAGTATCAATTATTACATCAAGATAGATGCAGAACGTAGATGCAATTGGTCTTTTTTTATCAACTTGGCCTACTAAATAAGAAACAATATCTGCTAGAAACTAGAAACTAATATTGACAAAAAAAATATATTGACAAATCTCTTTGTAGTAAAGAATAATAATTCAAATGAATGTAGATACTGAATTATTCACGTTTAAAGTCACAATGTAATAATAAGACACGGCATAAAGAAAATTTAACGACAATTGTTAACTTCCTACATTTTACAATTATAATATGAACTTTATTATCTGAATTTCTTATAAAAATAATTTATAAAGTAAATTGATATTTTTATAGTTATTTAGTTTCCAGATATAGAATATTTATTATTCCAAGCTTTTCGAGAAAAGTATCTAGCGAGTATTCGCTTATTAAAGCGATTGTATAAACTATGGAATAATTAACAAACAAAAAATTTTGCACATCATCGAAGAAAAGTATTTGCCACTCTCAGGCTCATTGCAATAAAATTTATCAATCAACACCAACACTTGATTATTCGTTCGAAACGTAATCAATTTAAAATCCTGCTTGTTTCATAATTTTAACGCGTCAATCGATATAGTCAAGCAATATAGTAAAGTAACAATGAAATGTCCATTAACGCGGATAACGTGACAATTGATAATTAATAGAGAAAGAGAACTTGCATCAGCCGGTAAGATTTAATTAAAGTACGACAATAAAAGACGCCCCCGTATGAAACGAGTAAGGATTATCAGCGACAATCGAGAAGCGCACTAATAATGACTTGCTCGCTCTTTCTTTTTAAAAGCCCCTGCATACACGAACGCCGTGCCTCTTCATAATTCCGGAAAACTTAAGTGTGGCCCCTTGTTTCAGGAGAGTATCCCGCGGCAATGCAGCACGGCGGTCAGGCCCATCAACCTAGACTCTACTCTCTGCTGCTCTGTCTCTGTTTGCTGCTTTATTAAGGAGGAACGTGATGAGCAAGGGGAAAGATACAAATGCAGGCGTACACTTAAGAAGGGAAGAAAAGAATAGAAAGAAGGCAAAGTACGAGACGACGAAGGCGCGTCGCGGGACGACGAGCATACGTCCGCTTTCCGTTTCTCTTGATTTTCCCACTTTGTGCGCGTGTGTGTCACGCGCACACATACTCTCTCTCTCTCTCTCTCTCTCTCTCTCTCTCTATCTATCTATCTATCTATCTCTATCTATCTATCTCTCTCTCTCTCTCTTACTCTCTCCCACTCCCTATCTATCTATCTATCTCTCTATCTCTCCTCTATCTCTGTCTATCTATTTATCTATCTCTCTATCTATTTTTCGCTAATATTTTATGTATCTCTATCTCCACATACTGACCTGTCTTACTCCAGCTGCCTCTCGTCTTCTCGCTCGAGAGAAAAAAGTAACAGCGGCTTATTATTTCTAGTACTTAACATAGGAAGAGAGAAAGGGAGAGAGAGAAAGGGAGAGAGAGAGAGAGAGAGAGTGAGTGAGTGAGTGAGTGAGTGAATGAGAGAGAGAGAGAGAATGAGACAGATAAATATAATAGAGCAAAAAGAAGATTGAATGAAATAAAAGAGCGGTATAATGATGATTATAACGACGCAAAATCAATGAAGCGATAAACGATCATGAAGGTGATGATGAAACGACGTTCTTGGCGTTCAAAGGAATATAGATGTGTTCGTCTTCATTGTATATGACTATATCTGATGAGGTAAAGAGAAAAAGTTTTACGATTCATAATTGCGCATTGATTACCACCGTGACTTTTGCAAATACTGTCTGACACGAATAATTTTCTTAATATAGTCTTTCCAAAAATATTATACTATTGAAAATACCATGTGAATTACAGATAATTTATAAATTAATATTTGTATAAAATATGCACATAAACACATGCATCTGTACATAAATGTGCATGCACATCATGTATATTTAATCTGTGAATTCATATACGCATTAATGTAATTATTATGATAAATTCCACACAAATTCTGTCTATAAAATATACATGGGATAAATTTAAAATTTAAGCAAAATAGTCTATAGACTATGTATTTTCAAAAGACATTACTTTTATTGATTTTTTTTAAAGATGGTCTTGACAAATTTATTTAAAAAAAAAAACAATAATAATGATAATTAGATTAACATATAGTAACAAAAATTTGTTATCTCAATTTATTATTAATAAAATTATACACGCGCGTACGCGCGCACCCACCCACACACACCCACACACACCCACACACACCCACCCACACACCCACACACCCACCCACACACCCACCCACACACACACACACACACATACACGCACACATAGCAGCGCGCGCGTATTAATATATTTGTTCGAACGGTAGTTCAAAGTAAATATTTCAAAATATAAAAATTACAATTTTTTATTTATTTCAGACGTATTAGCTTGGAAGTATCTTATCATTATAAATTCGATATAAATGTTCACATTACCTTATCTAGCGATATATTTTTTATAAAAATTCATATTACTTATTTATTAACTTCCTCTACATATTTGTATAAATAAGTTGAGTAAAATTAAGTGAAAGATTAAAAAAAAAAAGTTTTATACTGTATACAATTGTTTTAAAAAATTTCCTCGGTAATTGAAAACTTAGTGAAAGATCGTTTCCTATTTTTTGTTTCCCAATGTACTGCATTTATCAATAATCAGTCATGAATTAACAAATAAGTGTTCACAATTTTGAACAATTTAATAATTATATATGAGAATGATCATATGCAACTACTAGTTTTGATGAAAAATATGTGAACATTTGTTGCATTGATGAAATTTTCTTAGATATAAATTTTTATTTTTCATATTACATAGCAGAATTTTAATTTATAATATTATGCAATATATAATCAATTTTATACAAAAAAATGAAATACAATTTTCTTTATTTATTTATAATAAGTTTTTGGGAAGAATTACGTATAAATTTATAAATGGCATAATGACGGTTTTCATAGTTGGTAAAAATAAATAAAGAATTACTAATAATTTTTTTTTAATAATATTGAATTATCATTAGGATCTGAAAATGCTCATTACTACGTTTAACAATTGATTTCCAATCAGTTATAATAAGGGATACGAAAATTGAAATTGCTGCGAAAGATGGAAGAAAAAAGAAAAAGAAAAGATGAAAAACTATTAAGTCCGAATTCTGGAAAAAATTAAATATACATGTAAGGGAGCGTTATAATTCTAAATTATAATATTAATTTCTTTCGTTATAACGTACTGTACGTGATTATGAAAATATATGAATTTAAAAAATATTTAATTTACATTAAAAATAATTAATATGCTACATTATTATGCAATAAATTTAATATTTTCATAATACACATTTTATCATTTATTGTATAAAATTTATATTTAAGACGTATAATAATATTGAACATCCACTTGATAATCCATTGATTTACGTCTTTATTATACAAAATACTCGTTATTCATATTCAGCGCTTATTAGATTAATTTGTTATAAACGTTATTTGTCATGATTAAAAAATTTTTTAATAAAACTATTAATTTATCATTGTTCTCCTAAATTATTCAAACTCAATGTAATGTATTAAAAACGATTTAGAAAAAAAAAGTAAAGCATGGAAAATAGAAAATTATACAGTGAATATTTTCTTACAGTATAAAACACAGATGTACATGTTATATATTTAAATATCAATTTAGCTAAAAGTAAGGGAAATTTAGATAATACTAAAGGTTTTTTCTATACATAGAGAATTCGACTTTTACTATTATAAGCAAAATTGAAAGGAAAATGATTCTTGTGCTATAATAACAAATAACAAATAACAAATAATAAATAATAAATAATAAATGATAAATGATAACTGATAAATGATAAATGATAAATGATAAATGATAAATGATAAATGATAAATAAAAAAATAATAAATAATAATAACAATAATAATTCATTGTGCTTCGTGATTTTAAAACTCGTGCAATTGTCACGCGTATTATTTACGTTAATTATTATAATAATTTTGATAATATTTATAATAATTAAAATTACGTCTTACTATTAGATTATTTGCCATTGATGTTTGCCATTGAAATTTGGTGCTATTAAGGCAAAAATATGACATAATTGGGACAAGTTTCGGTTAGAGAACGGTGCGCTACACTAAGATTATCGTAAGCTTTGTTAATCACACAAACAGCATAAACCCTATGATTTGAATATTTTCATAATGATTTTAATTTATAAAAAGCTCACTTGCTGCATGCGTAACGTAACGCGTAAATTACCTATGTTTGATAAAGATTTAAATTTGTATATTATTTATCGTCGTGGAAATGTAAGATTGTAAATAATAATTGAATCGCGTGAAAATTCACGTTAGAATTAAGCGTCGTAATAATGTTATTATCGAGTAGTCCGTATCGATAGATCTGCAATATATAATTCATTCGTCATTCCGGAGCCGCGATTGAGGAAAAATTGTAGAATTAAAAGACGACGTTTAAGCAGCACTGGCTATGCTTAAATGACGGAAAATTAGGAAACGTCGAAGGAGGCCAGAAGGCTTTTATCGTGCGATTCAGCCTGGCAATCGGCGCATAATTTCGATTCGTTACTTGGATTACGTCGAAGTGCCGAGCGTAGCACAAACCCCTGATAAATGTACCCCATGATTGCGGAAAATAAGAATGCTTCAAGATGCACGCCGAGTGCTCCTCGACTGCGAGAAAGAGAGAAGAGGTGACAGCGGATGAGCAGTCGTGCGGAACAATCGCCGAGGAGACGACGAACGTCGGATGAATCGTAATCGGCGTTAGTCCTGCCCACGCGGCTAAAAACCACTTTTGTTGAATAAGAATTCCATTTATATCTCATCTTGTTTTAATCTTCATTTCGATCTCTTCCTTTTATAGTGCCGTTCTGGGTAAATGCAATTTTAGATTTACCGAAGAGTGGATGCAGTCGAATGGTGATTAGTAGTGACGTTTTTTCATTTTTATTTTTAGCATTCTACGGCTGCTATTTTGCGGTATTTTCTATTCGTTTGAATGTGTAAAGTGTCGGTCCATGGTCATTTTTATAGGCTTAAACGAAGCTCTCATTTATGAATATTATCGATAAATTTCATTTTAATGGTCTTTCGTTACTTAACGATTATTCCCTCCGTAATTACATTGTTAGGTAATTAATTGTTATAAATAGAATATGGCAATAGAAGCGGCATGGGGATGGGGATGGAGGGCGGAAGGGTAGCGGAGGGAATATGCTATCTAGGTATTAAAGAATTTTATCTCATATTAGGTAATCGTATGAGAGTTCAAGCAATTGCGAAAAATTAAAAAATCATTTTAGGCCCGAATTCGTTTTACGTATTAAAATGAATTTTCTGAGCGCACTCAACCAAATAAAACAATAGCATCGTTTTATGTACAATCCAATGTCCAATGTCGCCAAAATAATTGTAATTGTCGTGATTATCTACGATGAAAACAAGAATCTCTTTGAATTGATTAATAGCAACGATCGCTTTACCCAAACTGTATGAACTCATATTTTTACTCCGCAAAAGTTGGGATTGCAAATTCTAATAAATTCCGTTTGGAAATAGCGCGCTCTAATGAATTCCGGCTCTCGGATTGGACCCAAAAGCGTTTTCGACTGTTAAGCAGGAAATAGCGGTAACGAAGTTATATGCCGGGAACATACAATATTTCATGGTCGGCTATCGATCCAATGAGAAATCGGATTTTCAAAGCTGTAAAATTACACGGCCTCTCTCTTCCTCCCTTGTTCTCCGCACTCCAAATATATATATATATATATATATATATATATATATATATATATATATCTATTGGGATATTTTTACATTTTCACGATATTAGTCTGATATTTATTTTACTCCTTAAAAGGCTATTTAACATGCTATTTTATACTTCTTAGCAACAGATTGTACATTAAA